TATATATATATAGACACACACATTCAAAATTAAGTCACTTTATGATACACGGTAATTCTTATTTTTGACTAGTATCTCACCTAATGTTATTGTGTTTACTGAACCGCTTGGATTAAATTCTGGATCCGTCAAAGTATTATTATGCTTGTGGTGTTGATGACTTTGTGCCATCCGTATTGACAGTCGCATAGCGAGGAATCCAAGTTGCTGGACGTGGTCGTTTCTAGCATTTGTCAATAGTTAGCATTTAGGATGATTTAGCAACATAAAAAAGGGGGCACGTTTCTAATTATTACCACCTTATAAATGTTCAAGCAATTTTGACATGGTAACCTAAGAATTACTTGAGTAGAGAAATTTCAGAGGGCTAAATCTAAAGTTTGGTCCCTGCTGCTTTTCTGCTTCCTCCTCTTTACATTAAAAGGTTTGTCATGACCATAGTCCATATATTATTAGAGTTTAATTTTATTTTATTTTACAGCATTACAAATTTTCACATTTTAAGGGCTTACTTGTTGATATCATTTGAGTATCCTGATAGTGTTAAAAATTTCTTACAATGACGGATGTATATAACTTAAACCCTATTTTTGCCCATACTATTCTCCATGTTATTAGTATTATTGCTATTAATTACTCATGTTGCTTTTTATTTCACATACAGGAAGTAGAATAGAAAGTATAAACCGAAAAATTAAATTTTTAACGAACACCCCAAAGGGGACATACTAGTTTCCACAATTCTCATCTATGTACAAATCAATTAAGTTGATCTTATTATGCAACATATATATACATATACTGATGAAGGAGAAGGTATGATGTCTTACCTTCTAATTTCTTACATTATTGTTGAACATGCTCAAATTTGTATCTAATGGCATACTATATGTTAGCAAACGGATATGTTTCCAAATTGTGCCTAACGTGAAAGATACATTGTTTGAGCTACTTCTATGTTGGGACAAGAAATCCTCCACGTGCATCAAGATAGTTACACTTTGATCTACGTATAACAATATATAAAGTTAATTCCAATAGTAACCAATTCTTCGTTATTCTGAATTTGGTTTTTCTTATTATGGATGTTGGGTCACGCAGAGGCAGTCCCAAGATTTTACCATAATAGGGCACCGGTATTTTGTTCAATAAGTACCTCCTAAATTTTTTATATTCATGGTGCCAAGTTATTTAAATTAATCATTTTCAAAGTATACACATATACAAATACAAGAAATTTCTGGCGAAGTTTACGGGGTCCGATAATTCCTCAATGTTATACATAGATATGTTGAGGTTTTGTTTTTAAGATGAAATATTCTTAAAATGAGGGTGAATGGGAAATGGAGGGAAAATAAAATTTTGAGTAAAATTTTAAGTTTCCCCCTCTTGACAATGAGACATTGTCCCATATTGGAAGAGGAAGACATTTTTGGTGGGTATATATATAATTGCTCTTCTTGTAGCTCTTAAAGAGTTAAGAAGAAAGCAAGCCTCGCGCCGTCGTCGTCATCGCTCGCTCGGCTCGGCTATGGCTTCGGCTTCGGCGGATCCGCATTTGTAACGGATATTTTCCAATCCGTGTATTGACCATTTGGCAGCCGCCTAATGCTCTTCCCACCATGAAGTGCTTGCTCCACAAACATGTAATGCTTGCTTTCCAATCCGTGTATTGACCATTTGGCAGCCGCCTAATGCTCTTCCCACCATGAAGTGCTTGAAGAAAGACACTCAACACACAACACACAATTCGCTCAACAAATTGGCTATACATTTGCACTCCTTCCTCTCAGCATTTCCATACGATTTTCTGAGTTTATACTCCTTCGTTCTGCATTGTTTTTAACTTCAAACAAAGCAACTGTAAGTGTGATTTGCTACCGAACTTTGTGTTCGCTGAAACACTGGGGTTTGAAGTACCGCTACACCAGTGTGTTATTCGTTCTATCCTGGGAGGAAATAATCCATTGCCTTGGGTACTAGGAGGGGATTAAATTCCTAAAGGAAACACTGTAAATTCAGTGGGCTCGAATTTATTATTGTTTCATTACGTTAACTTATATTTTGCAGAATTATTATTTACAAATACAACAATATTGGCGGGAATAACAAGATGTGCTTTTGGTAATGATTTCTCAGCATTTTCACTATATATACACTGCTAGAATAGTTTAAAAGGAAAAAGAAGAAAAGGAGAAAAATTAACTTTTTTAATTAAAATGTTACCTGTGGCAAAATTCATCTAAAATGATTTTTGGAAAGACTAAGAAAAAGAGAAAAACATGTAAAGCAAAACGAAACTTAGAACAGTTTATATTTAACGTGGATTTGAGGAAAATTCGGAGAGAGAAGACAAGGAGGACTAAAAAGACGACGCAGTAATCGCATAATTGTCCAAAGATTCAACAGGCAATTGGATATCAGATCACATACAACTTCAGCAACTCAAGAATTTTCCATTTATCTACACTAAAAAGACAGACGCCGTAATCGCATAATTGCCCTCAAAGATTCAACAGGCAATTGGATTTCAGATTACATATAACTTCAGCAACTAATAACATACGGTTATAAAAACCTTTATACTACTTCCTACACCATCTCTTAAAGACGTTACCCAACAATTAATTATAATGCTCTAACACAAGAAGATGCTAGGGCTATAACATCACTAGTAACTGATAAAAAAATATTTGAAGCTGTCCGTTCTTTCCAGGTACTAAAATCACCAAGGCCTGATGGCCTTCATCTATTATTTTTTCAAAAATTCTGGCCTCAAATAAAGCAATAAGTAATTCAATTATGTAAACATATTTTCCAACGGGGACACATCCCAAATGAGTTAAACAAGACATATTTGTTTAATCCCTAAAATTAAAAGTCCATCAACAAGGGGTCACTTTAGACCTAATTTTGTGCAATACACTGTACAAACTCATTACCAAAATAATTGTTAATCGAATCAAACTTTTTCTAGACAAAATTATTCATCCTGCATAGTCACCTTTCCAGAAAAATCGTCGAGCGGCAGACAATGCCATAATCGTTCAAGAATTACTAAATCATTTTAGAAATTCTAGGTCAAAATGCTCAAACATGCTTCTTAAAATAGACATAGAAAAAGCACTCGATCGATTGGAATGGAGCTTTATACGCCAAACATTAACTTACTTTAATCTCCCACAATATTTAATATCTCTCATTATGTCCTGTGTATCCACAACCACTACCGCTATACTTTTAAATGATTCCCCTACCAATTTCTTCACACCCACTAGAGGTATTAGGTAAGGTGACCCGCTATCACCATATCTCTTTATTATGTGCATGGAAATATTATCTCAAAGTATAAACAATTTTGTAGACTACAATCAATGGAAACCGATTTCCTTAAACGCCAAAGCTTGGCAAATATCACACTTGTTCTTCGCGAACGACATTATATTGGCCTAAAAAATAAACACTACTAGTTGTCATAAAATTATTGATTTACTGGATCACTTCGCTCAGCTATCAGGTCAAAAAATTAATTTTGAAAAATAAAGAGTTTACTTCTCTAAATATTATACACCCACATATAAGAAGGGAAAATCATCAGCTGGATTTGGGGGCGTATTCAGAGATAACAAAGGGGATTGGGTAATGGGCTACACAGGCCAACACCCAATAACCAATGTTATGATATCGAACTTCTGGCACTGCTATGAGGATTGCAAATTGGCACAAACTAACGCTATTGGAAAACCACATGGATGCACAAGAAGTAATAAAAATGCTTCACAATCCACTAATAATGTAGTCCCCTTGCTTACTGATTGTATATTCCTGATCCAGAGCCTTAGTAATCCACCAGTACTTCACACATACAGAAAGTAAAATATGGTAGCGGATCAATTAGCATATTTTGGGATGAAACTGATGGAAAGCAATATCATCTTTTTGGCAAATCCTCCACACTTCATTTGAACGCAACTCATGGAAGACAAGCAGGGCCATACGACGCTTAGGATGGCTAGTATAAACAATTCCAATAATACACCGTTGGACTCGCCTTCCACAAGCATAGACTCCCACACAATAATACTATGTAATGAACCCGTCAGAACAAATAGCTCTAGTACTCATCATCAAATACAAAGGCACAATAGTGTCGATAGTAGATCTAACAGACTTTTTGTACTTCTGCCCGAGGGCAGATACTCCCTGTAATGCATGTTTAGTTAATATAAAGTAGTCTTTTAAATAAATAAATAAAAAACAAATCCTTTTGTGTCCTGTTTGGCCACTTCAGACACGTGTTACCTTTTAATTCTAATTTAACTACGATGTTTATTTTAGATACAGACAAAATATATTATCTACTTTGATAAACTCAAAGGACTCACGAAGAATATATTCTAGGGTGGATTCTAGATCTACGTTAAAAGACTTTCTTATCATTTTTAAGGAGAAGGGATTAACCAATTGATCAGAAATATATCACTGTCTTGTCTGGTCTCAATTTATGTGATGATATTTAATTGGATATAAAATTTTAATTTTTTTTTAAACTTGTAATTTAAAATAAAATATAAATATTTATGTAATTATAATAATTTTATTAATTATAAAATAAAAATAAAAATTAAATTATTTGAAGTATAAAATAAAGTCATTCTTTTTTTAATAAAATAAAATACAAAAAGTTTCCCATATAAATGGAAGAGACAAAATATATTACTACGATAAGTTTTTGCCATTCTCACCTTTTTTTCCGCCATTAATAACTTGTACTTTAACAAGAATAAATAACTCTTCTCTTTGTTCTTATCACTTACGGGTCAAATTAAAAATATCTGACTATTCGTTTTTTTATTCCCGTTAAGAATATCTTATTATTCCTCGAAAACTTGTCAAAGGGGCTATCAAATTTACGTGACTATCGCAAATAAATATAAACAAATCGTCTCGTTTTAAACTACAAATAGCTTACTACTACTACTAATAATTAGCTGCTTTCTTAATAACAAAGTCATCTAAATTCTACTTTTCAACTAGTACTAGTACTCCAAAAATGGCTTTTTTCCAAGTCCATTAGCCTACCAAAAATCCTAATCCTTCAATTTTTTTCTTCTCTGTATTAAGTATACAAGGGGTATAGATAATTTTTTCGTGAAAATCGTGAAATTTGGTTGATGGAATCAAGAGGATCGTTGAAATCGTTGGCGCCGGGGTTCAGATTTCACCCGACGGATGAAGAATTGGTTCGTTATTATCTGCGCCGTAAAATCACAGGGAAACCCATTAAATCTGCTCCTATTTCTGATATTGATATTTACAAAGTTGAGCCTTGGGATCTTCCTGGTTAGTCCCCTTTAACGTTCTTACCTTTCTTCTAGAACCTTCTATAACTCATATATTGATGTAAAGTTCTTTTTTTTTAATTTTATGGTCGATTGATTGTCTGTACAGATCTTTTGAAATCATAGTGTATATGGGTTGGTCAGTGGCGGTAAGGATTAAAGGGGTTTACTTTTTTCCCAATTTATTGGTAAATTGCCAAGAATTTATGTAATTCAGGTAATATAAAAGGTAATTGTATAAATGGTAAGCAAACTGCTATAGCAGGTTAAATTATACGGATGATGTAAAATATTCATTACTTTAGCGGTCTATATATCTTAAATCCTTATTTGTGGGCTTAATGGCTATGCTAGTTAGAAGAGTGGTGCCTATTGAACTTATAATAGATGCCTGATTACATAAGTTCATTGTGATGGTTTGTTCTACTTGCTAATTGTAATTTTTTTTCTTTTGTTCAATTTGGGTCATAGAAATATTGGCCATAGTTCAATGATCCCAGGGGTTTGGTTTAGTGTAAGAGCACAACACGTGATGTGTGGGTTGTTGGGCTTGAGTCACTGGTTCGAGACAAAAGCCGGGTATTTAAGTAGAGAAGGATAGAGGGGCGGGCTCATTATCTGCACAGTGTCCAACTGTGAGCCACTGGCCGTTGGGGATTTTTCGGCTATTAATGAAAAACTGGCGATCACATGTATGTAAATATTCTGACTGCAGTACCTATTTTATGTGTCGGCATGTATCACTTGTGAATAATTATCATCAAATTATTTTTTATGTTGCCTCCCTGGAAGTACTAGAACCAGAGCTTTAAGCTTATGTCCATTGATTGATAAAAATTTGTTGACTGCAACTTGGCAACTTATTCGGGATTGGATTATGATAATATCTGTAGTATGGTTGAATTGATTGTTAGGTATTTGTGAGTTATATTGTAAGCTTATGGTGCAATAGGCAAGTCGAGGCTGAAAACAAGAGATTTGGAATGGTACTTCTTTAGCGTTCTTGATAAGAAGTATGGTAATGGAGCAAGGACGAACCGAGCTACAGAAAAAGGCTACTGGAAGACAACTGGAAAGGATAGGGCTGTCCATCGCAATAAGTCTCAGGTTGTGGGGATGAAGAAGACTCTAGTTTTTCACAGTGGTCGGGCTCCAAAGGGTCAGAGGACTAATTGGGTGATGCATGAGTACAGACTGATTGATGAGGAGTTAGATAGAGCTGGAATTCCTCAGGTGAGGGTTCTTTTTCCTTTTTATTTTTTGAAGATGTGTGTATATAGTCATATTTGTCATTGGAAAATAGTGGCTTTGTTTTAGTTTTTGTAAAATTTATCAGCATCTCACATTCTTGTCCAGTTGCCCCAAAGCTGCTTCTGGAGGGAAATAGAGAGATGCTGAAGATAAATAGTCAAATGGACAGAGTGAATGCAAATTCTTCTTTCTACCCGCTTGCCCTTGATTGTGAGTGCTTGTGGGGTTGTCTCTTTTTTTATCTTTTCCTTTTTTGGGGGGTGGGGGGGATCCTCTTCGTGTAAGATGCTTACCTATTGTTGTCACCTATTCTAATTTTCTTCTCTTTTTGGCGGAAGGATGCGTTCGTGGTATGCAGAGTCTTCCAGAAGAGTGGTGCAGGGCCGAAAAATGGGGAACAGTATGGGGCACCTTTTATAGAGGAGGAATGGGAGGATGATGAGTTACAGGTGCTTCTGAAGGACGAGGCTGCTGATGAATTTGTATTTGATGATGATATTTATTTAGATGGAATTGAACTTGACCAGGTATTCATCTCTGATATATCTGTTGCTGTTCCCTTTATTTTGTGCATGCGTAGGTTATGTGGAATGCCTTCTCTCTCTCTCTCTCTCTCTCTCTCTCTCCCTTATAAACTGACAAGTTGTTCTAGCGTGACAAGTTACTTGTGTCACTTATAGCCTGCTTGGCCAAGCTTCTAAAATCGGCTTATTTTAGAAGTGCTTTTCAAAAAAGTATTTTTGGTGAGAATGAGTCTGTGGTTGACTAATTAATTTGAAAAGTTCTTTTGAGCAACACTTAGTGTTTAACCAAGCTTTTAAAAAGTGCCCAAGTGTATTTCTCACAAGTGCTTTTCGCCAAAAAGAAGCTTGGCCAAACAGGCTATTAGTGTTCGAAAGTATTATAACACATAGATATGCTCTCACTTTGCTATATTTCTATATGTTAGTAATCGCTTGTATCTTGTCATTAGAAGGAGTCACTCTAAGAAGTTAGCATGCATCTGCAACCAACAGGTCACTGTTACTATAAAAACACCAACTTTCTGGACATTTCCAATTTCGTTGTTTCTCTTATTTGACAAGGTGTACAGGCCTTCTTTGAAACTTAAACCTGGTGAAGTTTAGTAGCATTCTACACGAAAGTTTGAGCTAGCATAGTTTTATCTAGCATTGTTCTGCCTTTAAGATTTAAGAGTTAAGGGTCTATTGCTCTGGGAATCTGGCTGTCTTTTTTCTTATTTTTCCCGGAATGGCGATCTGGATACGCGGTCCTTTTGTTACTGACTCGACATGCATCATCTAATAACAAAACAGCCTAGCCTTGCTGGAATGTGCATTTACTTGCTGCTGAGTTCTGTGGCAAATAGATCAACTTGCTATTGCTTTTAGTGGCTCGTGGCCATGTCTCCATGAGCTGTTGGCATCATCAGAAAATAGAAACTCATCCTTTCTGAGTGCATGTGTTTGAACGCTAAAGCCTTACTATTGAAGACATTTGTCATTAACTTTAAAAAAACTCATCCTTGTCTTACTGTTCTGTGGTGTTACCTAAAACCTATCTGTGAAAATTTGGATGTAATAACGACAGTATGAGACCGAGAGCATTTTGTTCCTGCTGGTTGAATGTTTATGTGGTTGCGATTTCGGACCCTTTTGAAGCTATGGTCAGGCTAGTTGTTTGTTGAAATTTACAGTAGTAGTCAATTGACATTTAAATTTCTAATTTAAAGTGTCTTATAAAAAATAGATATATATCTTCCCTTGTTCCTTTCTGCAGTACTGGTGTTTTCATAAGTTAATACACATCAATTTTCCTTTTCCTCTTCTGAGAAGTAATTCCTGCTTCTGTCCGAAGTAAAAAGTGGCTTTTTAAGGTAGAGAATTGATGGGGATAAGTTTTAACTGAGTGGAGTGTCTCTTTTTCTTGGGTTGGTATCTAATTTTAACATTTAAATCTATTTCAGCACTTCTAAGAGAAATTAAGTCATGTATTATAACATTTAAACCTATTTCAGTGCTTGTAAAAGAAAGGTCCTTGTGAAGTTGTATATTAGGGTATACCTAAGTTGCTCGGACACAGGTGCGGGTGTCCGACACGGGTGCGGATCTAGAGGTTGGATCCTTTGAAATGTAAATTCTAAGATTCGGGGATACGGATTCTAGTACGGATACGGGGAAGGGAATCCGGCTAAACATAATTAAAAAAAAAAATAAAAAATATAAAAATATCTCTAAATTATGAGAAATTATGTGGAATACTTACGTATAGCTTGTAAAGTGTGGATTTCTTTTTTGTTCTCAAGTTGTAGAAAGTAAATGATTGATTTCCTAGATAAAGTATGCTATTTTCTTCAAATTTACCCTAGTTTTGGTTTTTATTTCGGAAATCAAATTGTATCTCGTCTCGAATTTTTTCGTCCGTCATGGTCAAAGTACCCAAAATTGTTTGACCAGATCCGGTACCCACAATCATACTAGTGTCGTGTCGACATGAGTGCGGCACCTAAACTGCCGTATCGGAGCAGCTTAGGGGTATATCCTTCTTGTGAGCAGTATGAATGTGTTTTTGGAAAAAACCCGCCTCTGCTATACTGGTTTATTCAATTTAATTGAGGTGCGCGCAAGCTGACAAAGACACCACCCATATAAAAAATAAATAAATGAATGAATGTGTTTTTTAATTGAAGCAATATCTTTGAGATTTCTGATCACGTGAACATGGTAATTTTCTTACCTCTTGAACCTTTAACTTGGATGTATATCCGTTTCTATAGGAAGTTGTACGAGGTCTAGAAGTCTCTGATATCATGAAACTTCAAAATAGTTTATCACCATCTGTGAATACAACACAGAGTTCTGCTGCGTTCATAATATTTGCCAAAATCGTGTGCTGTTCTGATGTCTGGTAATGCTTCTCTTGCGCCCAGATTCTTGGAACCGAAACCACTTTGAATCGTGTTCCCTTCCTGTTCATAATATTGCCAAAACTGTGTGCTGTTAATATTGGATTACGGTTATCTATATGTTCTGATTTCTCTTAATGCTTCTCTTGCACCTAGATTCTTGGAACCGAAACCACTTTGAATAGTGCTCCTCTTCCTTTGGACTACTGTTATGGTGAAAATGGAAGTAGTGAGGAGACAAATAACTCCTCTGATTCACAAAATTGGCTGCAGCAACCTGACGAGCTAAAACCAATTGATCTAGCTGTTCAACAGAATGTTGATGTCGATCCAGTCATGCATGAATATATTGGTGAATCAAGCAAGAATGTGAACTCTGAAGATGTGGATTACTTGCTTAATGAACCAACTGTAAATGCAACTGATGACCTTCAATTTAAGGAAGAAGCTTTCCTCGAAGCTAATGATCTTTCAAATCCCATTGAGGTTGATAGCTCTGGTTTTGACATGCTTGAGGAATACCTTACTTTCTTTGATGCAAATGATGATTTCCAGAATATGGGTTTTGATCCTTCAGTTTTGTTTGGAAATGATGATCAAATTTCTGATCAAGCACTGCTGGCTGAGAAGGTAAACTTTATTTTTGCCAGCTTCCCTCTCTCTTAGCTGTTACAGCAGTGTTCGTGCTGAGGCTTACATGTTATGTTTCTACTTTGGCAGAACATCGGTGAGGTAACTCAGCAATTTATTGCACCCAACGAAGGGCTTGGTGAATATAAGAATGATTTTGCATCATCCTCTAAACTGGAACTGACTAAATTTGGATCAGGTAATGATGGGACTTTCTATTTTGATTTTGTTCCTGATGATACCTTTGGGTATATACTAATTTGGTCATTGTTATTTATTTTTCAATATTGTAGATCATCAGTATCCATTTATGAAGCAGGCAAGCAAGATGTTGAGCAATATTCATGCTCCTCCAGCATTTGCTTCAGAGTTCCCTACAAAAGATGCAACTCTCCGTCTGAATTCATTGTCTCAGTCATCTAGTTCAGTGCAGGTCACTGCTGGTTTTCAAATGAGGGACATGACTGTGGGTAGCAATGGGACGGGGTGGCCATTGGGCAAGCATGCGGATTACAATATTTTCCTGTCTTTTGGCATTTCACGAGGTAGTGATGAGTCCGCCGTGGAGTCATTTTATAGCATTCATCCTGGAAAGACGACTTCAATCATATCAAGGGGCTGGTTCTATTATCTATTCTTTTCGTTCCTAATGCTTTGTATGAGCTTCAAAATTGGGACCATAATTTGTGCCAGTTAAGGTATCAGCACTTTAGGAAGCTCAATTATGCTGAAGCTCGAGGTTGCTGTTATTATACAAATTCTCGGTACATTATTAGATCTCAACTAAGACTTTATACTGTGTCCTAAAGGAGGAATTTTCTTTCTTTTCCTTTTTGCCTTCCTTTTTTGGGTGGTAAGTTAGATAAAGTTTGCAGTCTACTGATTGCTTAAAGTAAGCGAGGTTTTGGATCATTTTAAGCTTCCAGCTCTGAAACTTGAACATGTTATATATAACAGTTGTTGAGGTTTTTATTTGGAAGACTTTCTTGAAACATGTAGGAAAACTTTGCCAGCATGATTGTCTTGTGTGTTAAATCCGCGTGAGGATTTTACTTACTGGTGGCTTGTTTATCATATAGAAATTTTTCTTTCAATCGCAAAATCTCTGATTTGGCGTGTGTATGAATATGTAGGAAGACGTTGATGAACTAAGTTAAGTAATAGCGATTAACATTTTACGTAGTTGGACTAGATTGAAATATTGAAACTTCAGAAAACTATATAGTAAAGTAGCGAAGTTCATAGGAGCAGTACGCAAGCAAGAGATTCATCCATTTTCCAGACCGCGAATGTGGTTCCGAATCTCTTAGCATCGTAAAATGCTACAGCCTCAGGGTTGACAGGAGGCTAATTCTCCCAGAGCAAACCCACCACTTCGTCGGGCGGTGCTTGTGTGGAGGGTGCGCCACCTGAAATCGGGCTTGTAGCTCTCGTCTTACCAACAAGCCGAGAGCTGATGGATGTTGGTCACGACTACTATTAAAAAGCTCCTATGAAGATAAATATTTCACAAGGATTACTAGACTTGTGAACTATAAAGTTAGTTTGGTGCTTTGAAAGTAGATGCAAAAGTGCAATTTATCATCAAACAAGAACTTTCAGAGGCAAGATTTTAGCTCATAGAGGAACTTGTGCATGAAAAGATTACTACTCTCAGCGGTAGTCAAATATCTTGCCTTTTAGGAGGGCACTTCTTGAAACTGTCTCATTCATTATATTATTCCCTAGTCATCCAAATTTATTGGTAGACTGCACATCAATAGTATAATAAATTACAAACAACATTGAGGTTGGTAAACACTAGTATTATCTTGTCTATGCAAAGCTCTGATAATATATTCTGCAAAATGTTTTGCTTAGTAGTTTCACATTTCTCCAGGAAGCATTGTATCCCCTGGTAGATCACAGACAGCGATACCCTAAAAGGAAAATGAAAACAAAAAAGAAAAAGAGAAAAATATTTAGTTCATTCCGCGATAAAGAAGAAAACAAAAAATTTCAAGAGTATCTCGTGGCTGTTTAATAATACTCACCTCTCCTGTAAGGTGAGCTACACATCTTTTCTCCGCGAGCAACTCATCTTCTGACTGCACAATTTTAATAACTTAATTAAATTATATCTCACCACGTCTTTTTAACCATGTTTAACTGTGTGACCACCTCGGTTGAATGTTTAAATGATTAGAGGGAGGACATAATTACTTAATTATATTAGGTCTCAACACAATCTCGAGCAGTAGTTTTCTTTATGTTAAAGACTGTGTACTTCAAAATTCCCAAATTAGAGAAAAGGTTGAGCACCTTTTTAATTCGGCTTCGAAGATAATCGTCAAAAATTACCTCCTTTACTAGTTCATAGTCGCCATCTCCCTGCAATCAGTTAAGTATCTCAGAGCTGAAGATAGTGTGTGCTTAACATTTGACAAGATAAAGTAAGAAATTACAAAGGAGAAAAAACTAACTTTTGATCTACAAGGCATGCTGAAAACTATATCCTCTGCTATCCCATATGGATTTCCACTTGTATACACCTACACATTTAATTTGTAGCAATATTATAACAAGAAACTCCCAAATGAAAACATATAACATGTAATTGAACGAAAACTTGGTCTTTTGCGCAGGTAATGTTATACTGCACTATACTGGTGTGTCACCTACATCATCCGAGTATTTATAGTCACCAAACCCCACAATTTTCTTCTAAGTGTGCGTAAACTGGTCCATAGACGGGTAAAGGCAGTAAGTTAGCTGTTCTATGCCACGGATACCAATTTGTTGGGCTAAGCCAGATCAAAGATACTCTTAACATGATGTGAAACAGTCCACTTTGGACTAAACTCTCACGGTTTTCCTCGAATAGTCTCACACTATTAAGTGTACCCCTACACATTGTGTATCTTCTTTTCTTATCAACTTTCAATATTTGACTTTTTTGGCACGCCCAACACTAACTTATAGTACGACGAACTTAGGCCATCAATTTTATGCATAAAAGTTTCATCAACTGGCACAGTAACTCAGAGTAAATGAGTGAAGTCACTGATACAAAAGCTTGTGTATGTTAGAATGAGAGTTAATGAACTTACTCCAGTAGAAAACCAATCGCCTTCAGGCGTAGGAGTGACGAGTGATCTTATTGCATCAACAATTGACACAGCAGTTGATGCAGCTGAAGATCTTCCCCATTTCTGAATAAGTGCACCACCTCTCTGGAAATTAATTTAAAGAATTAGATACTTTTCAACAAAACAGATGAATGGTGTATAGGAGAATATTGAATTGGATATTTTACCTTTTGGACTTTTTCAGTGAACTCTTCTTCTAACCATTTAGTGTCTTTAATCACCTCTTTAACTGGCAATCCATTAATCTTAGCATTTAAAAAGTCTGGAACCTGATATCAAAATGATGTTAGTAAAACTAATGATTTTGAAGAAATTACAAATGAAAATGAAACACAATGACCTGAGTAGTTGAGTGGTTGCCCCATATGGTAACATTAGATACTTTGTCATAAAATACTCCAGCTTTTAGAGCCAGCTGCACAAACCATGAGATTGTCTCTTACTTTTTGTTCACTATGGAAAAAGGCAGCCCGGTGCACTAAACTTCCGCTATGCGCGAGGTTCGGAGAAGGGCCGGACCATAAGGGTCTATTGTACGCAGTCTTACCCTGCATTTCTGCAAGATGTTGTTTTCACGGCTCGAACCCGTGACCTCCTGGTCACATGACAACAACTTTACTAGTTATGCCAAGGCTCCCTTCTTGTTCACTATGGAAAGAGGAGTTTAATTTCCCGTACCGTCACTGGAACTTTACTCACTATAACAATCATGAGACAATTTTTTATCATTTTAAAGTAACTGAATTTTTCCCTAAAGGCATAAATTTTACCTACTATAACAATATAGTCACCTTGATGAATACGTCTTATCGTTATAGTAGGTAAATCATGTGACTTTAGTGTTATGGTAGATAAAGTTTATACTTTAAGATGACAGAAAATAGTATTGTGACTTTACTGACTGTTATAGTGGAGAAAGTTCAGTGACGATACGTAAAATTAATCTTATAAAGAGGTAATGCAAATACTTAAATGTAGCGAGTGAAGGGATACCTGGCATTTTGCTCTATTTTCATCTAACCTAGTCAAAGCATGGAAGTTCTTTGCTGGTATGTTTGGAGCATTTTTCAAACAAATCAATGCACTAGAAAGAAACAGAAAGATATTAGCAATGGAGTAACAGATTCACAGAAAAATCAGAGTTGGAATTGAGTGAGACACTTCTTTACTTGGTATTACAAGGGTTCCCAACTACTATCACTTTGACATTACGCGATGCAACAGCATTGAGAGCTTTCCCCTGTAATCATTTGACAAACAATGCAAAATATTGTCTCAAAATTTCATCTAAGACAATCCTTAAAAACATACATCTGAGCAGTTTTAGTCCTTTATATTTACCAAAATTGAGCAATTTTAATCTCTATTATACTTAGAACCAATGTTTTAAAAGGCAGGGGCATGAGGCGAGGCGTAAGCCCTGAGACATGGGGCGTAAGTCCCACGAATCTTTAAATTTTACTAATTTCAAGAATTTTAAGATTGTATAAAATAAAAATAATTATAAAAATTACACTAAAATCACAAAATTATAACAAATAATCTATTTAGAATATTTTTAAATTATAATTCAACTATGAATAATACGAAAAGTATGACATATATCATAATATGCAAATTAGCTGCAACGTCGTTACAACTCAAACATCAAAAGTAATGTATTCGATACGAAATCTTATACATATCTCTTAAGGAGTAATGAATCTTGAAAGAATTTCGATACTATAATTTGATATTTTTTTTTAAAATACTCCTTTTATTTAATATGCTTTCTATCTGAAAGAGAATTTATATAAAAACATAATTCACAATTTAAATATGATTCTCTAGCATCATTTATTTTTAAGTTTCAACAAGTTAATAAAGTGACACATAAGTCACCATACAATACCATGATAACTAATTATTTATAAATAATTAATAGCTAATACTGAGCTATTAAATTAATAAGTATTGTATCTCGTAAACATGAAAAAAATAATATTTAGAAAAATAATTATAAAAAAATTATGGACTATTATATAATAAAGACATAACAAAAGTTAATAAATAAATACTTTTTAAATGAAAGATTTATTTAAAATTTACTATCATAGCAGTCTTGGTGGATAACGTGATAATTTTTATTTTAATTATGACATAAAATACTCTCTACTTAATGATTTATGATTAAGAAAAAAGTAATTTTGAATAGTTAACGATTTTATTAAGAAAATTTGTGGATTTACAAGGTTAGTTACACACAATTGCATAAAGTTCTATTAGGCGAGCCCAGTACGCTAAACCCCGACGTGTTCAGGGCGTAAGCCCTGCCGGCCGAGGCGTAAGTCTCACGGAACTAAACCCCACACATAAGCTCAGGGGCGTTTTACGAGTGCTTCGCCTTGGGGCGAGCCCCAGGCGAGTCCCAATTCTGCCTTTTAAAACATAGCTTAGAACACACGACAATAGTTACATTTCATAGAATTGACTCATGAGAAGCACATAAGCCATTTAAACTGAGGAAACCATCGGGTCGGATGTTTCCCCTATTCATTTGTCCAACTCGTACCTTAAGAAAAACTAGATTATTAGGGGAAATGAATAAGAAATTTGTCTTGACGGGATTTTCAGTTTAAACGGCTCATGTGCTTCTAACGAGCCAACTCAAAGAAATAAAACTATCATCACATTTTTTAAACATAAAAGTGCTCAAGTTTTGTAAACATAACGAACTAAAAGATTTTTTTGTCATTTTCTCGAAAAAAAAACTTTATAATCTGAAGAGAAGAAGAAGAAACCTGCTCAGCGAAAATTTGACCATTTATATCCAATAAGCCAGCTCGTTCCATACCAGGACCTCGAGGCTTTGCTCCAATGAGAAGTGCCCATTCTGCATCCTGGAAAA